ATATCCTTTTTTAATTCTATAATACAATTTTTCATATTTCATATTAATCTTGCCTCCCACGAATAAATTCTATTTGAGAAGCATTGTTCCCCAGGTTTGTTGCTGTGTTATACATGGCCCTTGGATCTCTTTGACAGCCTCTTAGTTTCAGTGATTCTGTCTCTATTAACAATTCCAAAATTCTTAAAGGCATTTTATATTTGTAAGACCATTTAGTTCAAGCTCTGTTTTCTACAAAATTTTGATAACTGAATACTGTTTTACTAATATTAGCATTTGTGCACCTATGACCTAGTATAAAGTATACTTAAAAATACTAGTGATAATGTATTATGTAGACTTCAGTTCTAGCTGCTTCTGTTTTTGTCTTTTTGTTTTGATTTTGTATAGTAATAGTTTAATATGAGCATAAGTAATATCCATTGTTACAAATATTTTAGTTTAAATATAAGGATCTTTATGTTTCAAATTATGTAATTGGCTATATTATTTGAGAAAAATAGTTTTTGAAGATGTAGTTTTCAAAAGATATAATAAAAAGTGTTGTCTTTTATAATGTTTTAAACCTTTAAATGCTTATTTTTAAAATTGTACTGGAAGTGTCACAGAGAGGGAAGAGAGAAAACTCCAACTGGACAACATCGGCACAGGGAGTGTCTGATACCTAATTTACCAGGAAATTGGCAAAGGATTCCCTTTGAAACTTAATATATTAATGTGTAGAAGTAAATATGACATGTATGAAGAATAAGGCTACAATGAGAATTTAATCCATATTTGGGAGAAGGTAATATTATCATCAAATTCCAGTTTTCAACATTTTTGAATGACTTCTGTTGAAATCTATTGTGACTTGTAGTTCCAATCATGAGATAACTCTCCCATCTAAAAAAAGCAGCTTTGATTTTTTTTTTTTTTTTGCATTCTCTATTTTATAGATAAGGAATGTTGGGGAAGTTTAATGAATGGCCTGAGATTATTCAACCAGACATTGCCAGAGCTGTAACGAGACTGATTTCTCTCACTTCTTGCTTAGTTTTCTGACTATATCACAGTGACCCAAAAGAAGTAATCTAGGTCATAATTATTTTTGTTTTTTTTTTTTAGACTTCTGTCGCCCAAGTGCTGGGATTAAAGGCATGTGCTACCATGCCCCACTCACTTTTTTTTTTTTTGTTTTGATTAAGTGAATCATTGATATAAAGAGTGACTAATTTCTTTCCTCTAATAACAAGTAGAATGAATTCTATCATTCTAGGAAGGGAAAAACGGACATATGTTAAGTAGGGAAACAAAAAAATACCCCTATAAGACAGTTTTTAATTAAATAGAATTGGTTCATTAAATAATTAGGTAATGTTGTACTTTCTTTTTCTTTTTCTCTTTTTTAATGGTGTACTTTTACCCAACTCATGCTGTGGATCATAACAATGCAGGAAAACTTAGCAGTAACATTCAATATTTTCAGCTACTTTTATTTTCTTGGTTTTTCAATTTCACTGATTTGAAATATTTCATAGTTCTCTCTGTAAGTGTTAATTCTTAATATTTATGTTCAGAAGCACATATGCAAATCACTTAACGATGTGAGATATTAATGTTCTAGCCAAATGCAGATTGTTGAGCTTTTTTAAGCCTTATATCTTCAATGAGATAATCATTTGACTATCTCAATCACTAAAGAATATGGTATGGAACACTCATAATAACTTCAGAAACAACAGCTGGGAAAGACTATATAACACAAAAAAAATAATACACTGTTGCATATTTAGTAAGATATACAAAGTGGCTATAAAAATCACATAGTACCTTGTGTATGTTCAACTCTGCAAGTTCCTAAATAGTCAACCTTTTTCTATTGTCTAGAATAGTTTAATTGAAGATCATTCTAAACTTGTCTTTTTATCAGATATATTTTTAAATTGTCATTGTTTAAAAAAATTGTTGAATTTTTGTGTATTTCATAAAGAAAGTCATCTTATGCCCCCTTCCCCTTTGGCACTCTCCCATAGTCCCCCCACTGGAGTTCAAACATTCTGTCATTTGTGCTAAGGCCCATCATGTAAAGTTAGTCCTTCAGTTCAAGTTCATCCACTGGGATCTAGTCAGCCTATCTAGAGTCCCTCCTTTTAATAAGATCAGCTTTTCCTCACCCAGCAGTAATTAGATTCGGGCCTGCTGTTCATTTCCACAGTTCTGTGCTGGTTTTTTGTCTGCTTGAGTTTGCATGGGTCTTGTGCATGCTGACCCCATTGCTGCAGGTTTGTATGACAAGGCTACCGGTCACCTGCAAGACTATTTCCATACGGTGATGCACCTCCTCCCTGGCTCTTGCAATCTTTCTGCCCCTCTTCCACAATGGTCCCTGAGCCCTGAGTGGGTGGATTTTAATATGAGTCCTATCCAAGGACCCACACTCTGTCGACTCCAATTCTCTGTGTTTTGGCCATTTGTGACCTTTTGGATTCCTGGCCCTCTGTTGCATGAGGGAGCTGCATTGATGAGAGTTGAAAGATGTATTAGTGTACTCTTCACCCATTGTTCTATGTTCTATGAGCCTTAGGTGTAGAGGTTGCATCCTAGATGTGCCACTTAGATTTGAGCAATTCGAAGACAACCTCTCTGTGTGATCAGTTGTAGAACTCTGTAATTATCTCTGTGAAGGAGCTCAAGAAATGGGGAAAATTGTGATACTTTAAATGGGGAGGGTAAGGGGGAAGACAAACCATCATTACTTTTTAAAGATGAATGTTTTTTAAAAAGCATTTATTTATGTATCTATCATATTTATTTGTGAATTGTATATGTGTGAGCATGTACATGTCAAGATCAGAGGACAACTTGCATTAGTTGGTTCTCTCCTTTAACTGTGGATTCCAGGGAGTGAACTCAGGTTGCTAAAAAATGAGCTTAATTAGTGAGTTCCAGGACAGCTGGGGCTACAGGGAGACCCTGTCTCAAAAAGACCAAAAAAAAAAAAGAGAGAGAGAGAGAGAGAGAGAGAGACTACTACTTATTTGCTAAGCCATGTCTGCTTTGTTTAAAGACACAAAATAAGCACACAACTACTCATGGGGCAGCTAGGCAGAAGTTCAAATTCCCAACCCTAATGGGCATGGTGACATAAACCTTTAATCCCAGCACTCAAGGCAGAGACAAGTAGATCTCTGTGAGATTGAAGCCAGCCTGATTTACATAGCAAGTTCCAGGCCAGCTGGGGCTGTAGGGAGACCCTGTTTCAAAAACAAAATGAAAAAAATCCCCAACCCTCTGTGAGTTCAAGGCCAGCCTGGTCTACATAGTGAGTTCCAGGACAGCTAGGGCTACAGGGAGACCCTGTCTAAAAAAAACCAAAAAAAAAAAAGAGAGAGAGAGAGAGAGAGAGAGAGCTCTATGTCGATTCACACAGCCAGTTCTTTAGAAGGAGATGCTCTGGCTAAATGAGCCAAATGAAGGAAGTCTCAGAAAAACTGGAAAGAACAGCATGCATTCTCTCCAGTAAAAAGGGTAGCAATGTTATATAAGTCTGTGCAGTGAATTTTTTCCTTACAGACCCCATAGAATTTGGGCAGGGTTTCTTTGGTAAATCAAAAAATACATAAGACTAAAAAAATTAAGAAAGGTAATAGAAGAAAGAGGGGTGGATCACAACAAGAAATGAGCCACTTAAGACAAAAGCAGCAACCACACATGGAAATAAATAAAAAAACGGAATTCCACCTATTTGTCAGAAAACCATGTAGCTGATTTAAACAATTGTTTTTCTTTTGCTCTCACAACAAACCTCCTGAGGTGTCTATGACTATGTCCATTAGAGAGGAGGGTCTGTCTCCTGCCACTTCAAGTCTTTGTGGAGACTTTTTACTTGTTTGTTTCTAGAACACAGAGGCGTAGACTTAAGTCAGTAGCTCTCTGCACCATTCTGACAGGAAGATCATCAGTTTGAAAGAAAGAGCATCACAGAAAAAGTTTCTTTTTTCGTTTCCTGACAAATAGTATCAACTCAGCTAGTGCTTCAGCACCACATTCTTGCAAACACATTTATAAGCTCTCGGATCACTTAGACTTATGGTCCGAAAAAGAGTAAATAAAACCAAATACAAATGCTAGGTAATTACGTTGCCAGCTTAAAGTGGACTGGCTTTCTGCTTTTTTTTGTTGTTTGTTTGTTGTGGTGCTTGTTTTATGGAGGGCAGATAAAGAAGGTCCTCCCTGCCAGGAACTTTGAGAATAGTTCTTATTGTGTTTAATTCCGAGCTTGGGCAGTATCTGGGTTGATCCCTAACAGAGGTTCCCAGGATGAGGAGTACCATTCTTCAGCTGCCAAACCGAGAAGGACGGGGGCGCTGTCTGGTGACTTTGCGTGCTTCCTTCAAGGCGGCGACCACCTCCTGGGATTCGCTCTCCAGCCGCTCTGCTCCGAATCGGGTCCCACGTCCGCCGCACAGCGATGCCAGGACACTGAACCTCCGAGCCAAGGCTCTGGGGAGAGTCACCTGGGAGCGCACGGTCATGCCCAGACGCTTGCCGCTGGTAGTCAGAAAGCGCCCCAGGCCCAGCTTTGTGGGCCCGGCTTCCTCCGCGCACGCAGGACTCCGGGGCCAGGAGCCCCGCACCCCGCGCCCCAGCCTGGCCTCCCCAATCCAACACCCCAGAACCATCGCCGCTTCTCCCGGAAACAAGCCTGCTGAGCAAAGGCGGAGGAAAACCTTGGGCCTTCCGCTCTGATTGGTCTCCCCCCGCCGCGCGGGGCGAGGCAGCGATTGGCTCCCGGGCGTTGTCAGTCGCCGAGGCCAGAGCCATCGCTTGGGAAGCGCAGCCCGGCACCGGGGCTCTGGTGCCACCGCGGCTGCTCGGCTGGTGCAGCTGGACTAGCCCGCGCGAGCACCGCCGCCTCCGCCGCTGCCCACCGCGCAGCCAGCGCAGCGGAGCTTGGGGAGGCCGCCCGAGAGGGGCGGGCGCGGGAGCGGAGCACGAGGAGGCGGAGGCGGTGGAGAAGTGATGCTGGCGCCGGGGATCCGGACAGCGGCAGCGGAGCAGCAGCATCTTCAGGACTCCGGCTGCAGCGTCCCTGTGGCCCGTGGGCCAGCAGAACGGCCAGAGACCGCGCGTCCCGCGGGTAAGGGTTGGCTCCCCAGTGGGCTTTGTGATTTGGGGGGCTGGCGAGGCTCGAGGTGGCCAGGGCATCCCGATCAGGATGTTTGACAACCGGACAGCGAGTCCTGACGCCGGGCGAGGCTGCTGCTGGTGCCGGTGCGGCTTCAGCTCCTGCATTCTCGCATTGGCGCTGACAGACTTTGACAGCGCGTGGATGGCATTGTGTGTGAGCGAGTGTGTGTATGTGTGTGCGCGCGCACACACACGAGGTTTGGGGCACTTTGCGGGGAGAGGAGGAGTCGGTCCCCTTTCCGTGGGCCGATGTCCTTCAAGAATCAGGGCTGGGATGGAGTGAACTGCATGGTTTTGGCTCAGCGGTTGGAAGAACTCACACAGGATATAGTAAAGTCTACCGAGCTTCTTAAAGACCAGGGAGAATTGAACTTTATTGCTTTAATGAAAAGGAGTCATTGGATCTGGCGCACCAGGGGAGAAGCGCGTCCACCCGGGCTCCGCCAAAGTCCTGCCTTGCGCCAGGGGCTTTGGAACAAAAAGCAGAAAGTAAAGGTTGGTCTATCCTGCTGCAGAAAGAAAAGAGAAGTTAATGGGGTGGGGTGAAGATGCTAGGCTCCGGGACCGGAGACTTTTAGGTGGCTGAAGCCTCTAGTGGGAGACTATACTTTTCGGGAACGCAGATTTGGGGTGAAGAGAATCTGGGAAGGACCGGCTGCTCCTGCCCCGTGATGTCTTTGAGCGCAGGTGGCCGCTATGGAGCTGCGGGGCAGAGGTGGGGATGAGCTCTGGTGAGCGTTGGGAATGTCCAGGCGGTGTCACTTCCTTCCCGGGCCGCCTTGGCAGGTGTGCCTTCCCCATATGAGACCCGCCTGGTGGGTCCTGGGCTGGGTGCTGGGCGACCGGCTGTGCACTCTGTGAAACTTCAAGCCCGCTGAGGCCCGGGCCAACAGGCTGAGCGCGCATGAACCAGCAAAGGCACTCAGTTCCTCCAAGGCATACGTTTGTTTTTCTTTCCCTATTACATGTTTTATTTTACGAAACCATACCATTGGAAGTTCCGTTTGTGCCGGAACCGATTCCGCGGAAGGCGAATTTTATGCGCTGCTGCAACTGGTTAGTGCTTTTAGACTGAGTCTGGGCTCTCCACAGCTCACTGCAGTGGTTTCCTAATCCCTGTTTAGGACGCACAAACTTAAGTGTTGGCGGCTAATTTTCCAGGATTGGTTGGTTCCATGGGAATCTCTGCTTTTGGAAACTTCTTGAAATAGCTCTATTCTAAGGCACTGTCTCCTCCCTGACTCAGATGAGGAGATGCTATGATTGTGACAGAGCCAAGGGGGGATGCAGGGAGTTGTGGAGATGGCGAGCCTGCCAGCTTTGGTAAAACCAAAATTGGCTCAATACAAGGAGCTGGATCATGAGCTGACGACGGTGCTTTCCCTGGTTTGAAGTTCTGTAACCTTTTACACTGGAGGAATCTGTTGTCCAAGCACAGAACAAATCACAATAAAGAATCCCCAAACCTAAGCCGCAAAAACCACTCTGTTTGGGCTATTTCTGGTTTGGTAAAACAGAGAAAATGAAAGTAAGGCACCCCATGAAAATACTGTAGAACGTCAAGAGGGAGCTGTCCAAAACATCAGGCATTTCCCCTAGGTTTTTTGTTTGTTTGAAGTGTAAAGATTCTGTTTTCCTCCAGTTTAGTAACTAAGTGATTCTAAAGCAGAAGAGCGCTTCCAGAAAACTATCAGTGACGTTAGTTTTGTGTCTGAAGATGGCTGTATGCCTTCCATCTCTTAACTGGTGAGCTGTAAAATAAATTTCTTAGGATGATTTTTCCTGAACTTGTACACATCGTATTTGAATTAGTAGAAAACTGGTACTAAATATTGGGTTTTAGTATTCATTACATGTGGCTTCAAAGTCTGGTTTTCTGTTATAAAGTATCTGGTGTTAGGATTCTACTCAAAATTTGCCTGCCTCCAGGTGATTGTTTTATTATAGCAACTTTTTAGTTACTGTAATATTCAGGAATTTGCAAAGGTTATTAACTACACCAAGTACTTAATTTTAGTTTCATGTTTTATTTATGAAACCCTATGAGTAAACAATTGCAGCCAATATTAAAACATGGAACTTCTTTTAATAATTTGGCTAACAAAGTGCTTTTCACATTGATATCAAGTAGCATCTCATAAGTAGACTGCGTTATGTATAGGAGTAAGCCACACATCTTGCAGGGCATGGTGGCACACGCCTGTAGTCCCAGCACCTGGGAAGCAGAGGCAGGCAGATCTCTGTGAATTCAAGGCCAACCTGGTCTACATAGTGAGTTCCAGGCCAGCTGGGGCTACAGGGAAACCCTATCTCAAAAAAAAAAAAAAAAAAAAAAAAAAAGAAATAATAATGTACTTGTTTTATGGTAGCCTTTTTAAAAGAGGAACTTTTACATTGAAAAAGGGATTTTTTTTTCAGAAATTTGAATATACTTTACAAACTATGGGAACAAATATACTGAAATTTAGATAAGTGTGTGTATGTTGATGAATTAGGGAAAAACAAGAAATATGTTTAAGCATTGTGATGCTGGTTTAAGAGTTGGGAGGAGGGGCACAGCCAAGGTTTGTGAGTGGCGATGGGCAGAACTGACGCCTTGGTTTATACACGCAATTCAAATGCTTCCAGGTCTGCACATTAACTTCAGTTTTGACTTGTTTTGCTGCAGAGCAGCCCATGAGCTTAGACTGCCATATGTATTATAGATGGATTTTTTTGTAACTCAAGTAAATGTCAACTTGTCAAGTCTCTAGGCCACTAAATTCACTTTTTGACCTCTACCAAATTTTAATTTTAGCACTAACAGGTTAGCTTTTCTAAAATGTTCATGCTTCTTGCAAAGAACAATACAATTATCTTATGAAATAGAATTTATCAGTCAAATAGTCACAACAAGAATTTATGTGTGAATATGAGTAACACCATGATTTATTTTGTAGTAATTTCTTTTTCTTTTCATGATGGAGTAATTCTTTCTCTAGAACAGGAGGTTTAGGGAATTGAAACAAATAGTAAACCAGAAAGTTATTCTTATCCCGTCCTTGTCTCTCGGTCCTCAGCCTTCTACATGCAGACATGCACCTGACACAGGCATTTGCACACACACACACACACACACACACACAAATACATATAATTAGGAGGAATATAACCACTCTGCATTTGAAGCAAATTCACAAGTCCATTCTGTGTAAGGAATATGAGTCTTAGGGCAATATTTTCATCCCATCTAGTAATCCAGTATTAATTATAATACCGGTTTGTTGAACCAAATTTTAACAAAATACAGTTTTTTCTTACTCTGTACTGAACAGTTTTCTAGTTGCTTGGATGAGACAACAGAACAAGACAGATAGCTGCCCTATGGAGCTTATGTGCTATTACAGAGAAATAGATTATAATAAAATACAATAAGATCCAGTATATTGATCTTCTAACAGCATGTATTTTCTATACCCTTACCCCATGGCTAAGTCTTTCCATTTCATTTTATGTCCAACTAATACACAATAATCTGTGTATCCCTTCTCAAAGAATTAAATTAATGTAGGAAGTATGAAGTAATAAAAAATGATAAGCCAATGCATGCTTCTCCTGAAGGTCTGTATGTGAACCACAAGTACACTGCATGGAATGTGAGAGTTAAACCAAAAGGAGGGAATCCCAGATGATTACAGAATGTAACAAGATATCTATCCTTTGAAATATTTTTAAATTCAGCCAGGCATCATAGCACACATCTGTAATTCTAGCCCTCAAGAAGCTGAGACAGGAGGATTGTGAACTTGAAACCATGCTGAGTTACATGGTAAGACTTTGTCTCAAAATAATGTATATCAACACTTTTTTTTTTCAGAGCAACTAATGTGGGAAACATTTATCCTTTACCAGAATAACATTTAAAAACTCATTTATGTCTATCCTAAGTCAAGCATATTTAGCTCCATCCAAAAGAGTTCAAAAAGTTGAACATGGTTAAAGATAAGTTCAAAAGCATAATTTTAATGAGTGAAATTTTGATTTTCCCATATGGGAAGTGTCAAATTCATGTACATTTGTAAAGGCAGATCACAAGTCTGAGAATTTGAGGTCAATGTTTCCATAAAAATGATAATCAGTGCAAAACTTATGGTGGTTTTCGGGTAAGAAATGCCAAAATGATTAGAAAACTTTCAAGCAAGCTTGTCTTTAGTTAAAAATCAATTTAGTTATCCAGTCAGTCCAGTTACAAGTAAAATGACAAAATTGTGCCTGTTTCATTTAATTGACTATATACTATTATGCAATTATGATTAATTCTTACGCTTCTATTTCATTATTTTCTTCTAAAGTGATCATTATTACTTACCATCTGAAGAGTGGACCCAGCTTAATTTTCAAAAACTAGTTTGTAAATGACATGTTCCTATAAGAGAAATGTGAAATTTGTAACCTTAAGAAACTGTGCTACATAATGACTGCCCACCTGCTCTCGGGCTCTTAATGTGGGTTGTTTCCCACTTACAGTTACATTTGAATACTTTTCAAGTATCCAAAAAAAATTTAAGATTTAAGATTTACTTTTAAATGGTGTGTATGTGTGTGTGTGTGTGTGTGTGTGTGTGTGTGTGTACACGCATGTGAGTGTGAATGCCTCCTGATGCTAGAGGCATTGCATCCTTTGAAGGTGGAGTAACAGGTTGTGGTGAGCTGCATGTTGAAGTGGGTGCTGAGAACCAAACTTGGGGTCTCTGGAAGAGCAACAAGCATTCTTAACCCTTGAGCCATCTCATCACCCTCTCGTGTTCAAGCTTTAAGGGATTCTGTCTAGACTTCTGAATTGTGGGACGCCTTCAGCTATGACCATCTCAATATTTTATTCTCTACAGTCAAGAATGTGTAAATCACTCATTTAAGCTTTTGCGTTTATTGCCCTTTTTCTCCTTTCTGTTCCAAATACAATGTTCAGGA